TTGTCATGGCAGCCTTCCCTCTAGCTTCTTGGACTCATGCATTGTTAAACAAACAAACAAAAAAAACTTTTTAAAATGCATCAAATTGGGGCACTGCAGACAACAAAAATAGATTGTTTTTGATGGCAAGCCAAGTAATTTTGGCTTTTTCCCCCATAGCATTTGTAAACAAACTGTCAGACACCCATACATGCGAATGGGAAATTATTCATAGAGCCAGAGGAGGCTGAGGTTCTGAGAACACTTATCACCAGGGGGAATTAATTCACTGGCAGGTGCCATCTGTGGAGGGCTGTTATTTCCTTTAGTGTCATGTCACATCAGCAAACATTTCATTTCATGTCGTCCACCACTAGACAGAACGCTTGTATGTAAATTACCATAATTAAAATCTGGGTCGTGCAAAGCAAATACGTTAAGCTGTTCTCTTGTTCTTTTGTTTTTCTCCATGAAGAAAAATGGAGGAAGATGTTGGCTAATTGTTTGGAGATCAGATACTAAAAGATGATCATTAATAAGTCACATCTATTAATAAGAGGTATGAACCACCAAAAATTCATTTGGGAGTTGAAAACACCTGAGCCTGGGGAGAATGAGAGCAGTGTATGAACATAGTGGGGTTTAAAATATTCTGATGCATATGTCTTAGAGTTTTTATTGCTGTGAAGAGACACCATGACCACAGAAACTCATGTAAAGAAAACATTTAATTGGGACTGGCTTACAGTTCTGAGGTTCAGTCAGTTATCATGGCAGGGAGCATGGAAGCATGGGGCTGGAGCTGAGAGTCCTACATCTTGACTCAGAGGCAACAGGAAGTTGACTGATAATCACACTGAAGGAAGCTGGAGCAAAAGGGACCTTGAAGCTCGCCTCCTCCCCCACAGTGACACACTTCCTCCAACAAGGCCACACCTTCTAATAGTGCCACTCCCGTTGAGGGCCATTTTCTTTCAAACCATAGCTGTGTATTAGTTAGCTTCATGCTAACTAAAATACCTGAGCTGGCTTATAAAGAGCAAAAGTCTATTTGGCTCACAGTCTTAGTGGTTCCAGTCCAGCATGGGAGTGAGTTAGTACATCCTAGAGGAGCATGAGCAGAGAAAACCCACCTACATCACAGATCTGGAAGCCAAAGGAGGCACGAGTCCCAAGATCCTCTTTAGAGCTATATTTCCATGGAATTCAGGCATTCCACAGGGTCCCGCCTCTTACAAGTTCCACATCCTCCAAATAGTGCTGGTCTGGGGCTCAAACCTCCAGCTTGGGCATTGCTAAAATCTTGTTAAAATGCATTGAATCAGAACACTTACCTAAAACACAGCAGTATACTGAGGGTTTTGTTACAGTTGGATAAGGAGTTAGAGTTGTCAATGAATCCTTATATCACATCAGAAAGTCAAATTTTCAGCTGTAGCAAAGGCTGCCAGAATGTCCCCAAATATCCAGCCTTCCCATTCCATACTCATGGGATTTGTAGGCATTATATGACTTAAAATTTGTCTACATAGTCCAGGCTCTCTTGTAAGCCAAGTGTGTGCTGTTGCTAACTTTGACTGTGAGGCAGCATGCAGAAATGATATCTTCAGGCTGTCTACCTGAGGAGAAGGGTTGTAAGACCCTCGGAAAGCTGAGGTTTCCAGAATCTTAGCCCAGGACCGCGGCCACCCCAATCACAGAATGGAGGCGAAAGCTTGATGCAAATTGCATGGGGTTTTATTGTAGTTTAACGAGCTACCCCCATGTTAGCAAGGGTCTTTGACCCCCCCGCCATGTCGGATGGCTAGCAAAGACAGTTTGAAGCTGCTGCGCACAGATCTTTATAGGGCAGCGGAAGGGGAGTGTCCAGGGGTACGCACAGGCTCAGGATTGGCGTGCCTCCAGGCTTGGAGGGTTTGTCCTGTGTTGATTGGTCAACTGGTTGTTATGGTCCATAGTCCCTCCCAGGGTGGTTGCTATGCTTTCTAAGTCATTGCTGTGCACTTGTCCGTAAAGCACACCCGGGGTCGTAAAGCATAGCACCACCAGCCAACTTCTGATTGGTTCCTTGTCACGAGGCAGGCATCTGACATTCTAGTGACTAACTTCTGATTGTTTCCTTGTCACGAGGCAGGCATCTGACCTCTAAGTGACCAAGGCAAGTTTATGGCAAGCACGTGTTCGGCTGTTATGGCTGCCAAAACGGAAGCTGGTCCCTTCAGGGTATTCTCTTCACTCCCTTCTCCTTTCCACTGACTGAACCATCAATGTGAGGGCAATGCACCCTAAGGGAGGGTCTAGGAGTCTGGGACAATGGTGTTGTCATGCAGCCCCAAGAAACAGAATCTCTACAGTAGAGAGAAAGAGAAAGAGACCCTGGTTCATCTGGTAAAAGCCAAGAAAAAGAGAGAAACATGGCATATAGAAAATATGAAAAACAAAGGATTTAAAATCAAGAATATGACTAAATATAGGTGGTTAAAATAAATGTGAGTGGGCTAAATTTCTCCGCTAAATATGTTAACATTCCTCAGGTAAGACATTGAGTCAGACCTTATTGCTAACAATGAACTGCTAGGAAATCTGGGGCATTAAGATAAAGAAAAAAGAGAGAGAGAGAACTTCAGAGGAGCAACAACAGGATTTGATGTGGGTAGAGTTTTCCCAGAAAATGAAGAACTATACTTTCAAGAAACTGTGAGTGTAAAATTCCAGGTGTTGGTAAATTAACTAAGAAAATGAATACTCCTTCAAACTAAAAGCAAGACAGAGAAAACTGAACTCACTCGCTGAAGGAACCAAAGGACCCTTAATTCTCAGGTAAGGGTGGCTAATGAGATAGAGAAAGACATGACAATAGTCTCCAATAAAAAACAAAAAACAAAAAACAAAAAACTGTCATAGCACAGTATGGCAGGCACTAGAGTTCATTTTCAGGTATTTTAAAGTATTGGCTTCTAGACTACTAATTGTAGGCTTCCAGAAAACTATATAAGCATATGAACTATATAATCATTCAGAGGTTTATAATGAAGCTTTTCTCTGACTGGCTCTGGGAAACTATCGCTCAATTATTAGTTAAGGTTAGCAATGATGCCCCTTAGGCCTGAGCACATTTATTCCTGTTTCTCTGTGTAGACATTCCTACAGAAGAGACATTTAAGAAATATCAGCAGTGCCATATTCTCTTCAAAGCAGGTGTTACATAAAATAGAAAAAGACACCAAGATATTGCCCCTTCTGAAGCATATGTGCACCTGTTTTGAATCACGAATAAGCAAATAATCCAACCCCAATCAGTAGTTATCATAGTAATTCCAGACACAACATGACCTGGGGGATGCTTGGGGGATGACTGTCTTTGGGTGTACCCCGAATCACACTTTTGGGAACATGTTTCCACAGGCCTGTCCTTGTACTTGGCTCAGTAAAGCACAGCTTGTGTTGACTGTTAGAAGAGAGGGTTTGCTGAAGATGTCCTGGGGAACTAGGACAGTTGGTTTAGAAGCGCTAGCCAAGAAAACTCAAGAATTGTGTCGATCTCGTCTACTCCAGCCTGGAAGGTCATACAGGAAGACCCTGTGATGAGAGGGAGTAGAGAAGAGCTTATCAACAAACCCCGTGATATAAATATTCAAACTAGTTTTCATTGGTCTAAATCCTATTTTTGCATCTGAAATGATGCCTTTGGGGAAAAAAAAATCAAGGCAACTAGGGCATGCCTGGGAACACCTGGGATTTTATAATAGTTCTAGTTCTAAGTGAAGGTTCTATTTCTTTTGTTCACCCCTACCCCCCAACCTAATTCCTATCTAGTTCTCTCTTAGAAGAAAACCTTTTCAAAGGAGTCATCATTGAGAATGAATCTCCTTTACATGATGTAAATGGCCTCTTTTAGAGTTTAAATTCTGCACAGCTGGACAAGCAAGGTGGGGGGAGGATACAGGTTGCCACAGAAACTGCTGTTGGTGCTGGGGTTCTTTATGCTTTGCTCCTAAAAATAAGATGTGAAATGTACTGAGGGTGTGATTAGCACAGCACAGAAGGGAACTTCTAAAAGGAGAGCCAAGCCTCCCGCCCCCACAGGAACGGGGGTGTTCTGCATAGCTGGAGGACAGGACATGAATCCCAGAGCAGATGCTCAACACGGTCCCTCCCTCTAAAGGTGCAGGGAAAGACGAATGGGAAAGGGGCTTCTGAAGAAGAAAACAGTCCTCAGCCCAGCACGATCCATATAAGTTTTAAGGTTGAGACGTCCTGAAATTACCCGGGAAGTAGACGGTGGCTCTCACCAATACAACAAATACAGACTCAGTAAGGACACAGGGTTGGTTATTGGAATCCAGAGGCCAGTGCAAGATGCTGTCACACATCACCTTTTCCAGACGATCCCCTGGTCAATTTGGACATGTCCTGTGACCTTCACTCCAAACACAACTAGAATTCTCCCTCCAAGTGTTGCTGGAGGCTGTACTTCTGCCTATTCTGTTTATCTCCTCGAACAACTGAGAAAGTCAATTGTCACATCACTTTTTGACTTAATATAATTCTTCACTTAATATCAACATGGAGCAATTAGTCCAGATTGCCACCCATAGTTCAGAGACCCGACCAGGTTGACAAGCAGCCTCATACATTTATTCAATGAAAAATGAAATATCATTAAAACCATATCAGTCTTGGGACAAAAAGGTGTCTCAGTGGGTGAAAGTACTTGCCACCAACCTGATGACATCAATTTAATCCCTGAGACTCATGGAATTAGAAAAAAAAAATGACTCCTGGAAATTGTTCTCTGGCCTCCTTGTGCTCACTATGGACTGTACCTGATGACATCAATTTAATCCCTGAGACTCATGGAATTAGAAAAAAAATGACTCCTGGAAATTGTTCTCTGGCCTCCTTGTGCTCACTGTGGACTGTGTATGGAAATTGTTCTCTGGCCTCCTTGTGCTCACTATGGACTGTATATGCGTGTACATGAACACACACACACACACACACACACACACACACACAAATAAGTAATGTAATGACTTTATTAGTCTCATGATTATATACAGAAAACTCATGTGTGTTTTCTAAGCAGAGCCATGTCTGACTGAGCATTTCCTATATCATGAACTTTTACACAGGGTAAGTGCCTCTATCATTCCCATTTTCCTGTAGGAAATGTAGTTCTGTCTGAAAGCCAGCACCTTCATGGGTATGACCACAAAGTAGAGCAGCATGGGTGTAGACTCCAGAGTCAGAGGGGGCTGAGCTTGAATAGCACTTCCTTCACTTGAGAATTCTGTGATCTTTGATAAGTTATATAACTTCTTTGAACTTTAGGTTTCTCGCCTTAAAAACTGAGATAATAAAATGTCATAAGTAATTAGAAGTAAAGAAAATTACACGCTGAAAATGTCAAATGTATACCAGTGGGTGCTCAATGAACCCAAGTTCCTTCTTCCCTTCCTTTGTAACCCTAGAGGTCTCTACTACTGTTGTATAGCTGTCAGTCAAAATCTTAGATAGGGATCTACGGATCTATATGAAACCAAGCCTAGAAAAGCTAACTGAAAAAGTAGCGAAGGGTCAATCAAAGAATCTGAATATAGGGAAATTATATTGCTCTTAATATGAAAGAATTGACTCCCTCATGTAAGTTATAGGAAAATCTCAGTGGCCACTAAAGTAGAATCAAAATAAGCATGTAAATATCATCAAGAAATAGACTCAGACAGACTTCATGTTAAATCTAAACTTCTCTGCTATGATTGCCACTTCCTATAGCGTTGCCTTTCCATCTTCATTGTCCTTCAACTGCTCTTTATATCTTCACATCGGTCAGCCAGTCCCTGTGCTCATAACTCCTTGTTCTTTTGTGCTCCTTTTCTTTCTACCCAGCTGGACTCCATGGGTAGCTTTTTCAGTGAGACCTGGATTCCCTGTCGCACAGACCTCCACAGGCTCCAACTCTGGACAGTCCTAAGTGTCACCTAGTTCCTGTTCCTCTGATACTGTATAGGGCAACCTAGGACAGGAGACACCTTAGTTCCAAGAAAATCTAACACATCTCAATTGCCCAAGATGATAATATTGGTTGCTGGTTTATTATTTTTATGTAGTTATAGGACTTGCATAAAATAATAAATATCAAACACAAAGAAACACTATTTGAAATTCATGAGTAGTTCCACAGCAGATAGCTCTCTGAACAGTTGGGGGCTGAAATCCTAATTCTAACATGTTAAGTGTTCTGTGCTTAATCTATTTGGGCCTCAGCCTCTTCATATGAGAGGATGGGAGGGGCTAGCTAAAACATATTTGGTACATGCTTCAAGCCAGGTAACATCTTAGCTATCTATACGGCATGTATATTTAATCCTCCAAGAACTACAGTGTTTAGGGTAAAAGCAAAAATTGCTAAGTGACAAAGCATCCTGATGGTATAAAGGCCTGAAAGATACAGTCATTGTGGGGCTGGAGAGATGGCTCAGAGGTTAAGAGCACTGACTGCTCTTCCAGAGGTCCTGAGTTCAATTCCCAGCAACCACATGGTGGCTCACAACCATCCATTATGAGATCTGGTGCCCTCTTCTGGTGTGCAGATATACATGGAAGCAGAATGTTGTATACATAATAAATAATAAAATTTAAAAAAAAAGATATAGTCATTGCTGGGCCTGGTTGTATAAGCAAATGCTCTCTGTTTCTCCAGGGACTGAGGCAGGGGTATCACAGATTCAAAGTCAGTCTAGGCTATAGAGTTCAAAGCCATTTGTCTGGGTAATTACTACAGCCTGGAAATAAAACTAAAACTATGTCTTAGGTTTTATTGTTATGAAGAGACACCATGACCATGGGATCTTACAAAGGAAAGCATTTAATTGGGACTGGCTTACAGTTTCAGAGGTTTAGTCATTTATCATTATGGAGGGAAGCATGGTGTCATGCAAGCATATATGGTGTTGGAGAAGGAGCTGAGAGTTCTATATCTTGATTTACAGGCAGTAGAAAAAGTCTGTGTCACTGGGCCTAGCTTGATCATCTGAGACCTCAAAGCCCACCCCCACAGTGACACAATTCCATACCTACACCAACAAGGCCACACCTCTTAATGGTGCCACTCCCAAAGAGCAAGCATTCGGACACATGAGTCTATGGGGGGCATACCTATTCAAACCATCACATTCCACTCCCTGACCCCCAAAAGCCTGTAGCCATAACTTAATGCAAAATGCATTTAGTCCAACTTTAAAAGTCTCCATAGACTATCACAGTCTCACTCCAGCTAGGTCAAGCAGAAATAATATGCCTAATGACAGCAGTAGCACAAGGTGTTTTATAAAAACTAGAGAATCTGCTCTGAACTTGAGGTAGCCCACAGCAATAATAGGCAAATCCTATTCCTGGTTGACCTTTGAGGAACCAACAGAAGACAACAGATGAGTCACACTGTGGCTGCCCCAGAAAAGCCTCTGAAATATCTTGGCTCTGCAGTCACTTTTCCAGAATGAATCCACCTGGCACTAGTTTAGGTGGGTCACCAGTTTTGATTGGAGGTATTGAATCAGTGTATCTAGCTGAGGCAGCCACTGTCACTTGCTGGTGTTTGGTTGCATGGGAAATGGGAAAGAGTACCTGAATCCTCTAGTGGGGAGGCTATGCTCAAAAACTGGAGAACTTACCTGCCTAGGAAGGGTGTTCATGGGTAAGGCACTAGCATGTATTAACTACCCAGGATAGGATGAGTGTTTTCCTTCCAAAACTCCCAAGACTCTCTTTCTTCTTGTCTAAGGTGTGGAACACTGGAAATACTGAGAAAATTTTCCTATAGCAGTTGAAGAAAAAAGAACAAATTAAAGAACAAAGAAACCGGTCTGGCGGCCGGTGCCCTAGCCTCAGAGCCCTCATCCAGTGGCTGATGGAAGCAGAGGCAGACATCCACAGATACACACTGAACTGAACTCTGGAACTTAGTTGAAGAGAGGGAGGAATGAAGAGCGAAGGGGTTGGTACCAGGTTCGAGAAACCCACAGAAACAGCTGGCCTGAACAAGGGGGAGCACATCG